CTCCCAGTTCAAGAACTTCATTGCCCCCTCTTTCCCGGTCGCCTCTGCATCAGTAGGCCCACTTTCCCCTCCTCGGTCATCGCCCCATCGGTAGACCTATTTCTCCTTCCCCTTCCCCCGTGTCCCCTCCCCCCGTGCCCCACTCATCGCCCCCACAGGAGGCCGCCCTAGATCCCTCCTTGTTTTTTAGGTGTCTATAGAGCACTGGAAACGTAAATTTTTGTCATAATTACAGTTTCTGTTATGAGGGAAGAGAAATGCGATGCAAGAATTAGCGCAAGTGCGCCCCTAATACCTTTCATTCCGCGCAAGCGTGCATAGCAACTTTGACTGAGTAATTATCACTTGAAATTGGATAGGAAAATATGTATGTGTGTTCTTTACCATCAAAGTAGTAACAACAACTTGTGGTATTCACCGTCATTTCTAGGACATATGGGTCTTTGATTTCTGTCTTTCGCCTCCCCTTCCCTCGATCTGCTCTGGCACTACGCCAAGCTTATGAAAATATGAAACGGCACAGACACCAGTGCTGCAAAAGCCCGAATCTAAAGCTAAAGTAAACTAAAGCCTAAAGTAACTCGAAGTAGCAGTCCTACAACTCTGTTCCTAGTTTTTGCGTGGTTCCAGGGTGGGGGTGGACTCTCCTTCTTACTTCCCGTCGACTCCCCTCCCTCCTTCAGGAGTCTGCCAATGCGTAGTGGCGCACGATTGTTTTGTTTTTTTGGTGAGGTAATACGCTATGCATGCCAGAAAATCAAATCTGCCATCAGTTTGCTTCTAAGTAACTCTCGGAAGAACTTAGACACTTGTACTAGCGAGCGATTCCTGCTACTGTCGGGTTACTAGCGAGTGCCTTCGCATTTCCTGGTCAACGAATACTGAAGAAGCTTTGACTTTTTAGTAATTTTTAATTTTAGGTAAAAAAGCGTTCGAAATAACAACTGACGCCAGCACACATAACGTGGATGCTTTGGCTGATCGTTTTGAGGCATTTCAAATTAAATCGGCGGCACAAAACAAGGAGATGCAAGAAAAATGTATATTTTTGCCTTCATTTTCGTGTTTTACTAGCAACTAATTTTGGTATAAGTGCTCATGTTA